CTGAGGGTGGGGAGGGAGGGAAGTAAAACAGTGGGAGAGGAAGGAGGAAAGAGCATAAGGAAAGGCATGATTAACAACTTGCAATGATACGCAGTGTGAGTGATGCAATCTGACTACATGATTCAGTTATATCTATGTTTAATTCTAATCCAGTATTTTGTGCTGCTGTTGTGCAGTGATACTAAAATGAGGATGACAGGAGGACGGAGATTTGTTCCACTGCCTCTGGGCCACTGATCTAACAGAAATATCCTCCTCTGGGAGAAGTCACTCCATAAAGTTCCTTTTAGTGCACGTTACAAAGATGACCCGCACCTTGATCCAAAATTCACATTAATCAGACTCCTCCACTTGATCAGCTAGAATATAAATGAGCAGGCCTGCTTTATGCTCATGCCAAAACATGTATAACGAGAATGTGGAAAATACATAGGGTTTCCTGCTGAGCAAAAAAGGTTCCAGAATGAATTTCCTTGTATGATAATGGAAACATAGCAGTCTCCTCAAAACAAATTAAATTCCCTTTGAAGTGAACAGTGTGCATAAAGAAATAGCTGCTTCATCTTCCTGAGACCATCAAGGAATTCTATAAGAAACAGAATTTTGTAGACAAGCTTGCAACTCACAAGTTATAGCATATAGAGGACGGAATCTTGTATCATTATTTTGGAATAATTTTGAAATGATCTGAGCGTTCAGTGCAAGAGAGAAATCATTGGTATAGTCAGATGAAGGCTACAGGAGAAAAATTAACTGGTCCCCCTTTATTCAACTGCAATGGAGAACAGAGGCTTTCTCTAGAAAGCCAGACAGAATTTTCCACAACAACTTCATAAAAACCCCAAAATTCTCATCTTTCTTACTTCACTACAAGCTGACATGATACTTCATTTTTACCTCTGTGTTGGTACTTGTGTTTTTGCAATTTTTAAGCACTTTCAAAAAATAAACTTCAGCATAACATATCTTCCCAAATCTGCCTGTTCTCAGTTTTCCACAGAGGTTGTTTCAGGTTTCCACAGAGGTTTGTTTCTAATTTTGTCTGCATCTCACACCTACATTTTAGCCTAGTCCCAGAAAGATTCACTGGCTAGTAGTTGAAATCAATAGCAATTCATAGAAGCTGCCAGGGCTTCAGTTTCGGGTAATTGATTACTGTGGTCCTGCTGAGGCTCTACACTTTTAATATAAGCATTTCTGTGAGTGGTTTCCTCTGTTAGTCATTTAGTGCACACTATTTTCATTACAAGGAGGGAACTGCAATGCTTACAA